ACCACGTTCCTTCTGCTGCTGCAAGCCGGACCGCATTACACCAATACGCTTGAACCCGCAACCCCAACGGGAAAACTTGTAGTTTCTACAAAATTTCTTAGGTATCGAACCCAGTAGATGAGGTACCTTAACTTATAGACATACCTAGGTCTTGTTAGTTAGCCACTACCCTATCCGATGCATCACATATTATGACAAATGGCCATTGTTTTACTGTTGTAGGCATCTATCTATTTTGTGGACAGTGGAATTATTAAGCTTACTAGATTGGCGTACATTCAACATCATTTTTAAATGTACCTATTAGATTACTACTTGGTTTTGTATTTTTTTCCTATAAGCTGGTGTTTTGTATCACTCCAGCCAGGTGGTAAACAATGATGCAGCCTATGATGGACAACAGCTACCTAATTTGAGCAAGGAACCCATTTACTTAGGCGTTGAAGACACCCAGGTGATGTACACTTTAGGGAACACAGACTCCAGACACGGGCAAAGAAGGAATTTCATTCCTATGTTATTTTTTTGTATAGAATTAATAATGGTACATAATTAGATGTAAGTAGGTAGAATAAAAAGTTATACTTGTTTACCTTAATTAACCATTCTTCATTAGGTAGTTATTAACTTTTAATTGTACTTTCCAAAGATCAACCAGTTTAAAGACAACATATTTGAGTCGATCTGTCGGTTGTCATTTTTACGAACTTATACGTGCAGGTATTTTACGAAGTTTCGTGTTAATTTTCATTACTTACCAAGATACCTAATTGTGTTTCCTAGTTCGAAACTCCATCAGAATTGCAGCTACATTCTAATAAATGTTAATTTAGAACTAATTACTTGGACTCAGTTATAATCGTTCGATGGTTGCTCTTAATTAAGTGTAGCTAGCTCGATGCTCGCAGAGTGCAGGTGTTGCCTGCGGACGTACCAACGACCGGGTCCAACAGACCGGCAAGTGTCGGAATATCAATTTTCAACATGTGGGGTCGATTCAACACGCACTACGAAGCACGGTTAACACTTTATTCTTAATAAACCACAGGATATAACCAACTTAAATCAACCCACCTACAAATCAACTAAATAAAAATTAATTGACCCGCAACAAATAAAATCAGCTGTCAATAAAACCAATAACAACCTTATTACACTAGAAATAGGGGTGATAAGACTCACAGATAACTTCCTTAGACCTGCATTTTTTTTTTATTTTTATATCGCTACCACCGTAACTATAAATTAGCTAATCAAACAGAACATTGGTGCGGAAATGCCGCGGTTGGTGCAGAAAAAATTACTAACGCGAGAAATTGCCTTTCAAAGGGAAATAGCGAACGAGATCGCGCCGCGTATCGAGGTCAAACAATATATACGTACTTATGTAGAGCGTCCCAGCGCAGGCATGAGCCAAATAGGTTAGGTCTAACATCTTCAAAACAATATAACTTACCGAAAACAGCATTCACATCCAATAGGTACTTATTCCGTTACAAGATTCGCTTCAACGGTCGTCGGCAATGCTGTCACTCACGCACACACACACAAATACACCGTAGTAAACGTCATAACCAACGTTTACATCGTTAATTACACTATTTCGCGTTGTTTTTCGAAGCTACCAACAATATATCACATGTAGAACAACTTTAACTTGCACATATAACGGTCACCAGTCACAAAATGTTAATGAATCATTGAAAAAACGTATTTTTTAAGCAAAGACAGACCTAATCACCACTCCTTTTCTCTCACGGATTTCTGTGATAGCGAACAGCTGCGGCGTGTGTTGTACCAAAACAAATACATGTAACGCCATCTATTGGTATTTTGTGCGTAACTTATTCATGTCGACCTCGGTGTCAATGCACTCCGGTGAACTCTTTAACTAATCGCAGAAGAACTGGCCTAGATGGCGCTGCATGCAAGTTGTGGTTGACACGTGACTTCTTGGTAAATAGAAAATAATGGAACAATGCAGAATTCGATTTTAATAATGATACTGATAAGCCGACACTTTATTGAAAAACATATTTGTTGAAACTTATACTATACCTTTGGGAAGAATTGAATTATTTTTTTTTAAATCTTCATTTTCTTATTTTAACATCAAGAATTATAAAAAAAAAAACAATGTCATACATAAAAAACAATTACGAAACAAAAATACAACTCCGCCGTAACAGTGTTTGACACTGCCGTGACCAGGATTCGAACCTGGGTTACTACGGCCACAACGTAGGGTCCTAACCACTAGACGATCACGGCTATCGGAGCACTTATGACAACGACTGAAATTGGTAGCTGTTATCAAAGAATACTTTTTACTCATTTGATGTCTTCATATTTCTTACAAAATATTAGAAATCGCCAACACCGCAACGTGAAATACCGTTTAGCTGTTTACTTCTCAGTATATAAAAACTATTGAACAGTATTCTCTGAGGGAGTTTCCTACTAGGTACACATCCAAATAAAAATGTAGTACTTAGATACTTATATTCTGATAATTAAAAGAAGAAAGCAATTCTTTTTAACCCCCGACGCAAAAACGACGGGGTGTTATAAGTTTGACGTGTCTGTGTGTGTGTGTGTGTGTGTGTGTGTGTGTGTGTCTGTCTGTACCACTCTAGCCGCCGAACGGATGGACATATTTTGATTTAGTTTTTTTTTTGTTTGACAGTAGAAAATGTCGGGAGTGTTTTTACGTAAGTTTGATGAAAATTATTCCAAGATGGCCGCCGCCACAAAATGACAGATTAGATATTTTTTTTAAACTCCATCAATATGGGTATCAAATGAAAGGCTTGGCTAGTAGAATACTATTAGATATGAAAAAATTAAAATCCAAGATGGCTGGATGGATTACATTTGGTTTTTATAGTCGGGGTTTTTTTAAAATTTTTAATTTAATATTATTCACACTCATCTTGTTCTCTCTTTTGAAGTTTTTCTAGTATTATTTTGTTTAAAAGTGTGTTGACAAACGTGTGATACATGTGTATTGATGATTACCGTCCGTAGATAGTCACAAACGTTACACAGCCATAATGTGCTATAATCTTTGACGTACCAAGGTAGGAATAAAATAATGTAAGGTATGTAACGGACCTGTCATATTTGCACGACATATATTTCATTAGTTTACACGCGAGCATTCGATTTCTTAATTGTCGAACATTTACAATATATAGTATGTAACATATCTTAAGTGTGGGAGAGCCATGCTTCGGCACGAATGGGTCGGCTCGACCGGAGTGATACCACGGCCTCACAGAAAACCGACGTGAAACAACCACAGCGTTGTGTTTCGCCGTGTGAGTGATGTTACCGGAGGCCCAATCCTTCCCCTCCCCCAATCTTTCCCCAAACCCTGTTTTTTCCCTAATCTCCAAAAGGTCGGCAACATACTCGTAATTCGTCTGTTGTGGGTGCTATGAGCGGCGGATCTGTAGGCTCGTTTGCCGATCTATACATAAAAAAAAATCAAATAAACACATTTCTCAAATTATTTACAGGAGGCAGAGGTGTTCAAGACATTATATTAATAATACAATAATAAAACAGACCGATGACGATGATGATGAACACACTTGTCATATACTATCTACTATGAGTAAAATTATTTATCGGAGGAAGTCAGTATAGGTACCTACCAAGTACACATATTTTTCTTTAAAATCTACCCACTAAGGATTTTAAATAGAGACAATAGTTGGGTAGGCCTGTAGGTATTGCAGGTATCTAACATGTTGCTGGCTGCGTTTTGAAAGTTGCATTTACTAGTACCTAGATATTATAAAAAGAAACTCGTACGAGTTTCTTTTTATAATATCTAGGTACTATACTAGGTATAGATATTTTTCTGCAGTGGCGCATTGCTATACGCTAAAATGCTATTAGCGAAAAGCCCAAAAAAGACATATAATTTTTTAGTCTATGGCTCATGCACGCACATAAAAGTACGATAGTCATAGGTACCGATTAATTTTTCCCGCCATTACGAAATATTTTTCACAATTCGTCTCGTTTTTTATTTCAGTATTATTTTACTCAAAAGTTTATTGAAAAATGTCGTATGATGCTCGGGCGTCAATGCGCGGGTAATCACCAACATTGCACACTTTGACCATAATGTTCTATTGTCACTCTTAGTTGAGATCACGGTTGAGATGGTCATTTGGGTGATCAATCAAGAGTAAGTTTAAAATAGAATCTTATTTCCTACCTGCATAAAAAGTGTAAGACATTATTAACGTTCTTATTCTTTTAGATCGCTTTTTCGATTAAAATTGAATATGTCCTGTATGATCATGACGATTTTACCTTTTTTCAAATGTTGATTTAACATTGATTTCGGCTTGATTCTAGCTTATGAAACAATGGCAAAGAAAGTCGGCGATACTTTCTTCAACCTCCTCAAACCAGCTATCTATATAGGGTATAGACACTAAAAGAACATCAGCTATAGTAAATTCATTCTCGTTGCGTTTTTCAGGAGCATGTAGGTACTCACTGTTTTTTAGCATAACATGCGTGTTATAATCATCTCGAATTCCCTTTTTCAGGCTTGAGTATTCTGAACTCATATTTGAAACTTGAATTGAATAAGGAAGTTTAATACCAAAGCTAATAATGCCTTTTTTCATGAAACTCGGATTGGCGATTTTGAGTTTTTACCTACAAATAAAACGCAACTTTGCCTTCCGCCTCATCCTGCTACCCTTCTAATCGAGCAACGGTACAGACCTATCAGATTTTCAATTTGGAAATTCTCTATACGTAGTTATCTCCCCGAATAACATTGGAGCATTGGCATAACATAACCAGCCAACCAGCCAAAAAACCTTCAGGAATCTACGGAAAATGATAGCGCCATGTTACATGGAGTCTTACCTAACTGGAAGAAACAGACGCAAACGCATTGAAAAGCTTTATTTATTCAAAAACATTCTGCTGACTCTGTTCCTTCATAAATTCAAAATACAATAGGAATATAAATAAAAGTAGATGTATCAATTGCTATCGTTTATTGATTTAAAATACAAAACTTAGTGACATAAAGCTCTATCCTTTTATTGTTACAGTGCCTGCGAACTGACAATCCGATAGGAAATAAACACTTTATTTAGCTCATCGCTTCGCGCACCACCACATGCCAACTCACACATTCCATATAATCCCATGCTGTCACAGTACAAATAAATAATATAGTATATTACATACTCAAGCGCAAACATCTAGGGCCATCCTTGAGTAATGGATTTAGTTAGAACTATATCAAACGTTGGTGTTTTACATGGTCGTTATCACTTAACATCCCGACTAGTTTGTCAATTATAAACATTGTCACGGCAGATTTCCCCATCGACTTGGTACCATAACAAGGTAGCTATGTCACAAAATTAAATTAATCATTGTCTTAAGTTATACACAAGTGTTACACTGAGTAAATCATATAACTGTATATTATACGGTGGATACAGCATCTATTTTAGCATAGTTATCCAGTTAAAAGGAACTAAAATATTAAAACAATTATAATAATGTATATTACAATTAGGTACACTTGATAAAATGTGGCAATCCTGACTGTACAAATGATGTACATTCTGTAACCTCTGTTGATTTTGGCGTAACTTGTCTTTTTTTCTATATAAATACTGACAGCTGGCGGCTGTCTTCTTATGTGCTATTTGCCTATTTACATTTGCGTACCTTGTTGCAGGCACTTACTGGCGACATCGCCAAAGAAAACGCTAGTATGCAACAATATCCAGCACAGTGAGCAATAGCAGCGTACCGGCGAAGTAGTCCTGCGGCTCCCGTTTCACAAACCGCAGTGCGGTATAACCTATTTGGTTTCATGACTCCAAAATTTGGCTCTCGCATAATCTCGCAATGCTGACATCATCAATGATGCGACCAAATAATTACTTCTTTGTAAACTGAGAGCACCGATACTTTAAAGCAAGTAATTTCGTCCCCCATCAAATAGTGAGTATGAGCAGCTTGAGCAACAACTTATCTAGAGACCCGCCGCATCACACGAAGTATTGGAGTAGCTCCTCGTGTACGAGGATATTAGGAAACCAGAAACCTTCGCAGTTCACTATTTCAGTGTGAAGAACACGTAACGCTGCTATTTTTCCAAACCTATACCCCCTTTAAAATCCTCAGTCTATCTACAATTCCAAACCCTCAAACTATTATCCCAACAACGTCTTTATCACAACTATTAACGCCTTCCCGCAGTGGAATTTCCATCACTTACTGGACTTGTTAAGCCAAGGCGTGAATGTTGCTGCAAAAAATAGTAAGAGGATTGCTTTACCCTCACAACAATGCCCTCAGTACTGGAGTGACCCGAGTCACATTCTCAGCGTTCACATTAGAGCAGAGGTTCTGTACGAACGGTCAGACATTTGTACAGTTAGGAGTGCCACGAACACAATTGAATATTTTACATACATTTGGAAACCTGCCTGTCGATAACATCGTTATTGCTCTAACATTATCAAATTAAACGTGTTTCCCATACTTATTCCTTAACTCTTTCTAACATCCCTATATCTCATGAAGCAGAAAAGTATTACAGTAAATATTATACAGATATTTGAAAAATTTATAATACAGAACAGCGAGATTAGAAATAGATTCAAATCTACAATGAAATGAAATTGATAGCACGTATTATTAGATAAATCAAAGTAGAAAAATACTTTAATGCTTCATGTAAACGAATAGCTGTACCATACATGTGTTTCGTTTAAAAATAAATCCATTTTAGGAAGGTTTACTTTTATAAAAACTCGCAACAATACTTTGCGATAAGAAATAATTTGCTATCAGTTGCAATTCGTCATAAGTAGCTGCTTTATTCTGAACAATTGTCATTTCAGTCAATTTCTTAACTAAAAATAATTGAACATAAAAATTTTACTATATCACGACATGGTCAGAATAAAGAAGCTACGCTCCAGGACCGCTACTAACAAGATCTTTCAAGTCAATGGACAACTGTACACGTTCTCTGCAGATATCTACAACTCGAGTTAAATCACCCCTCAATCGCACAGCTTCACATTTGCTAACCTTTATCTAGAATGTGTGCATTCACATTCTCGCCATCTTAAATGCAATTTAAGATCACCCACAAATAAAAGTCAACAAAACTCAATAACCAAATGTTGACAATAATTTGATTATTTTACATCGAGCGACCAAAAAGTCGTTAATTAGTAGCGGGCCTTACACATAAAAAGTTCCGGCACAATAAGGCAGTGATTCAGTGTATGCTATACAAAATATCTCCGTTTACAAAGTTTCAACCAGTCTGTTGCAATGAGGTTAGTCTATTGTAGATTCAAATCCAAAAAGGTTGAACAAGTCAGTTTAATTCAATTTATTAACTCTTATCTGAAATACCCAAATTTTTATATATGTTTCAACATTTGTCATAACCTACAAGTACATTTTGTGTTTTATAGAATTACCTATACACTATTCTCTGTTTTACACATCGTCTGAATATTCCAATGGGTCAAAGTAACCTATACGCATTAAATGAAACGCCTGAGACCTCAATCACAGGCGCCATACATTCGAAATTAAACATTTTTATAATATACAACAACTCTGAAATGCGAGGGCATAGTTTTATTTCAATAATTTAAGTGTGTACGAGTGTGTCAAGTCGAATCAAATTGTGCAATAACAAAAATACTTAATCTATTTCTTCGTTTGTATAAACAAATTCTCATTGGCCCTTTGAATTTCAGTCATCAGTTGCCGACACTTTAAGAATATAAAGCTTGCGATAATTAAAACCGAACGAAAGCCTAACTAGCATAGATCGTAACTAAACTATACATTATCCAGTTTATGTCGCAGTCTGTATCGATTAGTCGGTTTCCTAAATTTTATATACAATATTTATTTTCTACCATATTGCGTCCTTGATATGCATCGCGTAACAATAAAAAAACCTAGCTCACATGCCCTCGATGCGTCCGGATGCGGTGAACGGGATCGTCGCCGTCGCGGTCGGCGATCTCTCGGAACGTTCTCTAAGTACGGTCGGTGAAGCGATCAAGAAACAAATAATACAAATACACGGTACAACGTAACAAATCGTCACCATAATATTTCTTTACAGTCAGACTTATCGTATTAAATAAAAATATAGAATCATAAATATCGGATTCAGTCCAGGAGAGTGGCGGGGCGCTAGTGGATGGCCACGGGGCTGTGCGGCAGCGGACAGACGGGCGCCAGCAGGTCGGGCGAGCGGCGCGCGCCCTCCACCTCCATGCGCTCCGCGCCGCCGCCCCACGCGCGCGCGCCTGCACACACCACACGTAAGTACACACTCTACGCCGCTGCAACTTGTACATTCTTACACTAACATTCACACCAGGTACACTAATTTATCAAAAAGTGGTATTGCAATAAATCAAATTAAAATTGAAAAGTAATTCTATAAATGGTAATAATAATATTTGCTATACGTGTAAATAAATAGATAAAAATAGGAACACAGAAAAAATTAAAACATTAATTAATGTCTGCGGCTTGTGTTTGGCTTCTTATTAATTGCAACTTAAGATTTGTTGTAAGCATAACTAAAGTGTCTTGTACTCCATTTCATTTGAAAAGGCTACAGTACGGCCGAAGTATCTTGGCGAGTCTGAAGTTAGCCGTTTGTCTGCGCAATGGATCTTTTAGGAACAAAATGGTGTCATCCAATCGGCTAACTTCAGACTCGCCAAGATACGTTGGCGGTGTTGTACTGTGTTTTCGATATTTGAAGTAACTTAATTGAAGTGATGATAAAATCATTTTAAAAACGTGCATAATGTGGTGTACTGAACACTTTGTAGTTTCGATATTTTAATACGATATCGTCACAACTCTGGTAACTTCAAATATCCAAAAAACGACGGACGTTCGAAACGAAATGGTTTAGATTCTTTAAATAATATTGGTGGACTAATGTTTAGGAGAGCTACAAACTCAGGCCGCAGACGGCAGGTACACAGAAGCCATGCGTGAGCGACATGCTCGCATGCTACGGAGGGCGCATAACATTCCGAAGTGAGTAGAGTGAGGGCAGACCTGGCACGATATCGTTAGGCACTAGTGTGGCGGCGCTAGTGTCGCGGGCCGGGGCCGCCGGACCGCTCTAGTCATCGCGGGTCCGACGGGCCATCTGCCGCCACAACATATAGCCAACATTAAAAACGTACACACTGCATGGAAGTTACCGGACCATTCATATTGCCTTTAATGGGACGAACATTACAATTTTGATTGAATAAATAATGGTAAGAGAACATTTATTATAACTATAATTTAATATTAAACTTTAAAAGGTGGGATTTTGTTCTTTTCTACTTTAATAACTTATTGATATTTTAGCATTTTGTTTATGCCATTTTAGTTTGCTTTTGTGCTTTAGTTTTAAAAGTAACTTCCATAATTTTATAATTACTTTATTTTTATAATGATTATGATGAAGCATTATGTTAGCAAAGAACACGACACAAGCTTGAAATGATGATTAGACTTATGTACTACATGGTTTTGTTAGAAATATGACCATTCTAGCCTTCAGGAACAACTGTGTCCTATTACATTATTTAAATAGCATGTATATAAAGCACCAATCCTAGAAGATTATAAAGGATTTCGAGTGCTATTTTTTGAGAAACCCGTGGCATATATTGCACATTATAATCATAATAATATTTATTGCTAAAGAGAGATTCATTTGCCGGATAAAATATTTCTCATTTCATCATTTTATTCAATTTATTTATTATATACAAATAGTGATTTCAGATCATAGAGTGATATATAATTATTAGCGATACACCCGATAAAATTAGTAACGTTATCCTTGGTGATGGATAGGCATAGGTAAATACAATTAGTTTGTATTAGAACATTTGGTGAATATAAGAGGGGTGATGTTTGAAGATATTGGAGAGATTGGGGGGTCTGTGACAAGTATGGAGATGTTACTGACCGTGTTGGTGATGCGACTGTGCTTGTTGTGTGTTTGTGGACTCGTCTGCGGTCCGCTTAAAGAAATTATGTTGTAGCGCGTAGTACGGCGTCACACGCTGTTTGGGGTCGTACTCCAACATACGGAGGATTAGGTCCTGGAAATTAATACAAGTATTTTGTTATCCATAACTTAATTAACAGTATTTTATTTGTAAAGAAGACTAAATTTAAAACACGCCACAATCTGTACCCTGTATTACATTAAAATAAACATCGATAACACAAGGGAAATTAAATGAAAACACCACAGGTTGTTGTTGATAAGCATCACATCAACTGCCTGCAACTGTCCACTGCTGTGCAATGGCCTATTCTCATATGGATAATCATGGAGCATAAATCACCACACTCGCTCAAAGTGGTGTAGCAATTTCAAACATATTATTTAAAAGTCGAGATAAGTCGAGGTTTTGCTCGTGATTTTCTCTCCTTCCCTGTGTGTCAGTGGTGTCTAAATAATCTTAGAAAGTAAATATAACATGGAAATAGTAACTTTGGTACCTGCGAGGTTTCAAAACCGCATCCTCATGTATAAGAAGCGGGAGATATAGCGAGCATATAAACTATGAAAGAAAGTAGACAAGACGTGGGCTTACCTTGAACTTGAGATAATCGGAGACGGAGTGTCCTGGCTCCCCGCGGCGCCGCGCGGCGGGCCCGCCGCCCTCGACGCCGAGGATGTCGTGCAGCCGCCGCGTGCCCGGCAGCCGGTACTTCCTGTAACCGCTGCACACATTAACACCACTACACACACTGTATTCAAGCACGGATTCGGACAATTCACGGGCTAATATGTTTAAACTAGGATAAAAAACAATACGACTGGATCTAGTGAGTTTTTTGAAGACTAGCATGTATTTTCTTTTACGTGCCTGAGTTTATTCACTTGTCAACCAATACAAAAATGAAAACTTCTAGATTTATAATTTGATGCAAAACACAGGTTGATTGGAGTATGCTGTTGTGAAAGCAATGGATACAGTAATACACTAATACTTCAGAAGGAAACAAACGCAAAATAATCATACTAGGATTGTTAAGTTAGCAATATATTTTTATTTTTATGTATCTTTTGATCATACTCATTGGGAACAAAAAATTAAAGCATGCACGTTTTAAATCAATAAGAGCAAGTTAATAGTAATTGCTTGAACAAAAATAAATCAGAATGTCACAATTTATTGAAACTCACCTTCCATCCTTTCCATTAACTTTCTTTAATACGTAACCACCGCCTTCTGACGCTGGTAATTTGTCAAAGAATTTTCTTGTTTTGTGTGCCTGCGAACGAAAATGTACAAAGTTGTAGAACACGAAACTAACCTCATTTCTTTCCAACCTAAACGAACGAAGTACAACATCAGATTCTCGAAAATAAGAGGGTATATGACGATTCATCGTCTGCTTGCGACCACGACCTGTGTAACCAGGTCGAAACTTCAAGTCTTTCAAGGTATTTAAATAATTGCTTTTCGCGTTAATACCTGTTTAATAATATGTTATTTATTCAGTAAATACTGTAATCGTCATCATCATCAGTATCAGCCAGAAGACGTTCAATGCTGATAAGACATCCCCTTAGTCTTCCACGTCGAAGACTATTAATTAAAGACTGCAACGGATCATTTAAAAGACAAGTTAAAGACACTGACCTGGTCTAACAGATGATCAGGCGGCATGCCGAGCACTTCGACAATTTTGTTCATCTGGTCGACCTCGTTGGCTCCACTGAACAGTGGCTCGCCCGTGTGCATCTCGACGAGTATGCAGCCCAACGACCACATGTCTATCGCGAGGTCGTAAGGCACGCCGAGCAAAACCTCTGGCGACCGGTAAAACCTCGACTGAATGTATTGGTATATCTGCAATAAACGTTATTATATTATTATATATGGGTGGTCTTATCACACAAAGTAATTTCTTCTATAGAACCATTGGATGGAAATTTAAAATAAACCTGGGAATTAGCAGTCTAGTGTACAATAAATTGGTAATAATAATAATTTGTTAGCTTGCAGATGTTTAAAGAAACTACCTAGGCACGTTAACAGCCAATGAACTTCTTTCTAATTATGTTTAGCTGTTAGTAAGATAAATGGCTCTGTATACAAGGTACAACAATCTCACGCCTAGTTCGGTGACAGAACTCACACAAACTACATTTCTTAATTACACGACAACTGTTGAAACTCTTGAGAAATAAACTATTACTATAAATAACTATAAGAAGCATTATGTACTTATGATAATAATTCTACGACGCACCAATCCCTTTTCAAGGTACACAATAAGGAAATCATGAATGAAGATACAATTAACAACAATGCAATATTAATCTATAATCTAATTAGTTTGTACAATACTAAAGTAATTAAAATAAGTAGCTAATTACATTGACTTATCTAAGGTCAAGAGTGTTTGATGAATACAATACAAAACTATTGTAAAGGTGACTTTTAATCATAATTTCTAGATACAAGTTTATTTTCATCAACAAAGAAAACGTGCTTCCGTCCTTTGTGATAAAGTTAGAAATAGAATGAATGTTTTAGGTTATAATTTTAGACAAGGCGGTGCTTAGGCTAATCCGTAATTTACTTCACTACAGGCGTTGTCCGGACACACGATTTTCACATTCATGACATGATGATATGATACAATTTCATTTACATAGTACAAAAATTCCACAATACAATGTATAAAACATTATTATGAAAAAAAATGGCACAAAAACTACACGATACAATGTATAAAATATTATTATGAAAAAATTGGCATAATAACTACTGTTAGGGATCAAATTGGGAATTTGTGTCTGTTAGGAATAAATTCATACTCCTATCCTCCTCCAAAGTATGGTTTTAAACAATTTGAGGTGGAAATCTAGTTCATTAGTGTGTTATTGGAGATACATTATCACACACATACACAGAGCGATAGCAATCATGAACCAATTTGAAACTATTATTATTTAATCTGTTCAAATAATTAGTTACCTAGCCAGCCTCCCGACAATATGGTGAATATTGTGTACTAGTATCAAGAAAGTTGTATGATCTAAACCGTTTTTCCTCTGGTATGGTTGTACGGATACCATTTATCAGCACAACTAATGCCGTACTAGAATAATTATAAGAAATGTTGAAGAATTAAGCAAATTGATGACAATTATTATTCGGAAATCCACGAGAAAATCAAATTAAGAACAATATGAAGTAAACAAAGAATATCGATTATTCAATCTCTTGTTGAAACTTACAAAGTAAGAAGCAATTAAGTTGGCCACTTCAACACAATCAGAATAAATTGAAGAAAGATAACAACAGGTTCAAGTTCATACCATGACCCTAATTACTTTAATCTTTATAATATTGAATCATTGCAAGATTGAGAAACTGACGACAATATAGCTCTTATTATTAGTCTATCAAGGTCGATCTTCTGGTCTCCTAGAAGTCCAGCGATGATTTTAACCAGATAACACCAGGATTTAAATAAAGTAATAGCAGATATGTACAATGTTATTACTTTATTAAACCCTGATGTCCTGGTATCAACACGGGAAGAACGCCAGCCGTTCCATAAAAAATACTGGCATATGGTTGAATTCTTCCAAGCCTGTTGATCTTAATTTAGTGTGAAGGTTCAGGTAAGATACGGTTTAAAAAAGCGTCCAAAATAGGTACATTTACGAAACGAAAGGACAAAAAAGCGATAACAAAAACTTATTTATAAAATCTCAATTATGAATTAATTATATGGATGTTAGGGTACAATGAATGGGTTTATCGTGTTCGTTGTATTACGTTTTAAGTATATGTGCGAGTTGCCGATAACCCAGCCTCGTCTACGAATCACACGACCCCGATGTGATTTATCTCAGCAATTAGCGTGTACGGGAATCGAGTCCATAAATCGAGTGACTCGCGCGTTAGGTGCACTCCGATAATTTACTAGGTTCTATTGAATCTCCTCGTTCTTACACTAATTCATATTTTAATGTTGAAGTCTTGGTATTCTGAATAATTATTTTGGAGTTCTCGTTTATAAATGATGGCCAATTATTTCATACAGAATAATGAAATAGGTTTTTAACTTTTGAATCTTATTAAGGAGACCTTTTTTAAAAAATAAAACGTTAAGCGAACAAAGATATTAAATATAACGTTTTGGCTTAGGGCTATCTGTTGCTAAACAACTGACAGCTAAAATTAATTGGAATGAGTAGTGATAAGCAAATGCTGACTACAAAGTACAGAGGTTTTTTTTTCATCGTATCTAATTTAAGAGGTACGTCTAGACAAGAGTGGTGTTAGACTAAAGTGCCTCAGGCAGACTTACCCTTTGACCTAGTTGACACGAGCTCCCGAAATCCACAATTTTAATGGCTGACCTTTTCGGGTTGCATAGTAGTATATTCTCGGGTTTAAGATCACAGTGAATTATATTTAGTTCTGGAATACAAAAGAGAGAGGTATTAGTATTATAGATAAGAGGTAATCTCATCAAGATTCCCTTGACAATAGAATTTTGAGAACGGCTTGTAATATTAAATGGACCTTCTATCAGTTCCGGGAATTTTGGTATAATTAATTCAGATTCAATCGTTTGCTGGTAAATTTTCTTCATAGAAAAGGAAGGGAACGTGTAAGAGATTACTGAAATGATTGGACTATTAACTTAAGGTGATTTTATTTTGTTATTATCACTAGCCAACATTCTAGGACATATTAAATATCTTGATGGTCGTGACTTTAGGTCCATTACCCGATCAGGTGATCGTTGTGTTCCAGTGCATGACAAAAGGCCCATTTGTAACATAACCGAAGAAAACTTTTCACAAACTATTTCTATTCTTCGGACAATAAGCTGACTCTCATTTTAGCTTCCTTTATTACAAGATACTTGAAGTGTCAATAACTCAAACGATGCTAGAACGAAGTTACTAAGGTAAATACAATACATAACAAATGAAATCTTACCTGGTTGACTAAGGAACAGTAACGCGGTACACAACTGCTGCGCAAACTTGCGCGTTAGGTTCAGCGAGACGCCCCTGAAGTTGGTGTTGCGTAGCAAGTCGTACAAGTTGTACGACAACAGCTCGAATACTAGGCACAGGTGGTTCCGCCACATAAAGTGACATTTCAGTTTCACTGTAAAGTAAACAAACGATTTATTGGGTAATCGGTTCGTAGTAAATAGTTATCAGTAGCCGTTGACGGACCACTGCTATCGCACTGGATTAGACTTTTGGCCTTAGTTAGGAGTTACTTCATAAGATAATACGTCTAAAGCGTAGCGATAGCCAATGAGCATTGTGCAAGAACTTTTCATAAATAAATAAATAATAAGGTCTGCATTTGCAATACAATAAACATCACAACTAGTATCGAAGTATCCTTATGTAATAATTGTCTGTAAAAATATGATAAAACTCAAAAACTATTACACTCATATTCATAAGTTCCCGCATTGGGGATCAACAATGGACTGCTAGATTAATAATCTTAAGTATTTTAGGGCTAATCTTACAATCCTATCTTAGGGTATATTTGGTAACTAAAGATAGAATTGCTCCGTAGAAAATAAGTCATGAATAATCAAGTTTCTGTCCCTAGCAACAAAATCTACTAACAGGGTGAGACTGACCATTAGTTTACAGTACAAAGGTGAATAACACCCATCTGCTAATTATTCAGTCTCGTACCATTGAGACATAAATAAAACATAAAATAATACAGTTTGAATTCTGATGTGTACAGTAAAAAGGCACCGCAATGTGGTTGCGGTCGGAATATAAGTTACTTTTAAAAGTAACGCGCAATTAAAAATTAAACTGTATTTTATTTATATTTGATTGGTGAAAACAAGTCATTAGCTAATCACTGCAGCACGTGTCAAGTTTAGTTTCCTTCGAGACGGGTCACGTGTTCGCATTGACATTGCAACTGAAAAAGTAAACATTGAATGTGATTCATGGTCTGTTTACTTTAGTTGCACACACATACCGTCATATAATTTGTTTGCACGTTCGTAAATTATGTTATTCCACGTATACGACGAGTATTGTTTAAACCACAAAGTTTCTATTGAACATTATGTAAATGGAAATAAATTAAATTTTGTAAAGCGCTTTACTTTTTCATAAAGCTAGCAGGACCAAATGCTTTACTAGCGCCAACTTGTGGGCCCCCAAGAAAATTGAACTAACAATTATGAATGTCAAAATGAACTTACCTATATAATACTTATTTTCAGGATCCGCTCTGTTCATCATTTTTAGTAACTTGACTTCTATTTGTGCCTGGTTTAGGAAGGGTTTCTTATTCTTAATTATTTTAATCGCTACTTGACACTGCTCCTCGTGGTCATACGCTTTCACAACCTGGAATATATAGAAACACGACATCAGTGATATCATCCCTTATAAAAATAAGAAGAAGAACATTTTTAACAAATAAATACCATTTTTGTTTGAGAATGGTAAAATATATTACGTTTCATTCTGAAGTCAGTATGTTTGGATAATTTCACCACCGTGGCTCGGAAAGCCCAGGAAAGGCCTGACAAGTGACCTCTTTCAAGTCTTGTCGGATTACTGACTCAGTCGACTGTGAGAATGTGACAAGAGCATGCATTGTGAAGCTTGCCCTTTGACTTAACTAATTGAGTCTTAGGGAAGGCTGAAGACGTGTTCATAGGAACGACACTTGGATAAACACGTTTAAACCAAGTTTTATAGTAAACATGTAGTTTTCAGAAGCATTCCTAATCTCTGTTTACTACAAGTACTATGAGGAGAAACTCATTATGTTCAGTAATCTGGCTATAAGTAGCTTAGTGGCGATAACAGGATATCTATTACAATGTATTGTGTGAATCATGTACTTGACCACTAAGTGCAACCGTTACTCATATAATATTTATTATTTTTCTCAGAACGTATGTAAAACACCTGATATGACACACATACTATTAATTTCATTACCTTGCCATTCAATATTGCTATGAGTAACTAAATGGTTTACTGCCGCACTCAGAGACATCTGATGATTCCTTAGCCCTAAACGGAATTCCTTAGGAACGGTTTTGTTACGAAAACTATTGTTAAGGACTACCATAAGATAACCATTAAATAACTCTCTGAGTACCGCCGCGGTACAAATTGCTGTAACGAAATTGTGAAAAAATTCTGAAGGCATCTCTTAATTATTATTTTTGAGTTTTCTTCATGATAACAAAGTCGAAACGTTACCACCTTCAGTCCTTTAATTGGTTGGTTAAGGTCATTCATTAACGTGTCGATCGCATTAATATAAAGAAAAAGGAGTGCTTTAGTGTCTCTAGTGCGAACTAGGGACAATAAAGCATTAGTTGATGTGCTTTTGAAAGTAAAAGCTTGTATAAGTCTTTTGAAATTATGGTGTTACTAGAACTACTGTGATTCGTATCAATGACAATAAGGGTGTAAAAATTACATTGCAAACTCTTGTATTTTATTTGCTTAGACAGAATATACATCAGCGAGAAAAGTAAGGAAATCGGAGCTTACCTGTCCAAAAGATCCCTTCCCAATCGGCGAGGAGATCTCATACCGGTCGAGGAACTTCTCGCCCTGTTTGATGATGTAATCGTGGTTATCATCATCGTAGCCGTCGTTATATAACTTCCGCTCTTTTTTGTGCGAGCCATCCTCGCCCAGGTACTGTTGCGCTCTCCGCTTTTTCTTCGCGTAATATACCTGATGACAAAATGGATAAACATTAGTATAGATATTCTATTATAATAGTGAATCAAATATAAAATTAAAGGTATTTAAGATGATTATCAGCCCTAACAGTTGATGATCACCTTTTTGTTATTCACCAAAGATTTATTATTTCCCAGTTTTTTGGTGGATTTGTCACCCCAGTATAATAATATGAAATCATTGGACGGATTTTTTTGTTTATTTTTGTTATTTAACCATTGTGCTCATTTTGGTTTGCCAACATGGTCAGTGTTACACTGACAGTTACAATGACGGCATACTGTTTTTTAAATATCAATGACAACAATTTTCAAGCAGTTTTAGAACGGAAAGTATTGCTATATGTTTAAAGAGGTTTTCCAGTAAACTGATTTAAGAGTGTTGTTTTTATAAATAAATAAAACGTATAGTATATTCATAAGAGCTTTCTGTTGAAAGCGTACTTTAGTATTCTAAACATTGTACAATTGCTATCATATGCGTTATAGGAAATGAAGAGTAGCCGAACGCGGGAATTCTCGGTTGACGGACGTTGACCCAAATATGCGGTTGACATTGATCGACGACGGGCCGCGATATGCTTATATAAAACATTTGTACCGACTGCCGACCTGCGACGTAGGTTTCAACGCTTGGATTTGGGACTAGGAAGTTCATTGCTACCAATTTTACGAGGTACCGTGAGACTCGCCCGAATATGACTCATTGTTTTGCGACTGGTTGCTAACTTTGGTAGTTTGATAAAAATATATACATTTTGCAGCTTGTGAACTTTTACTGTACTGTGAATAGTAGTCTAGTGTTTTCAGTTGGAAACGTGTTAGAGAGTCACACTATGGAGTCGTGAGAGTGCGTCACGTGACCAATAACATCTGGCATTCAGAAGCCGCTATTACGTAACACGGAAGCATGACATAGCAATAATATCGGCGAGTGCATAGCATTCGCATCGTGGTGGCACGGAAGTGTCGCATATCGACGCGGCCAAACGATAACCCAAATTTCTGACAGCGACCTACATATTACATTGTATGTTTTACAGGCGACCGAGCGCCCCCAACAACTGGCAAGGCTTCGTGCAACCGCACACTTATCTGTTCGACTAAACTGTTTGTTGACCGATGCCTGGCTATTTTCTGTGATTTGCGCCGGCTACCTGAATAACACGTGGATTGCATAATTTTAATATTTTTGGCGGTTGATAAGGTAGAGCGTGCCCGTTTCTTTTTTTTTTAATATCTAGTTTTAATTCATGAAACGGGCATCATTGTTTCATCCTGCAAGGGGCAATAGTGACGATGCGCGGAGACAAATGATGGTGGTTATGGGAGAGGATGGTGTGGTGAGTCAGGCCAGTGACCGCGGCACGTGGCCGCGAGATGAGCGCGTCGGGCCGGGGAGAGACGGCGCGCGGCGGCTGTCATTGATTTTCCCCGTTTCCCCCCTACCCCGAGGCTGGCTCCCTCCCCACCGCGTCTCACCCACTTCCAGCGCCCGATAACGAGGTTAACGGGCGACGTGAGCGTCTCCTAAACTTTAATTATACCCGTACACCCGTCGTGCATGTTTAACCCGGCCTCTATTGAGCGTTTTGTTTGCAGCGCACCTGATAGCGAGACGTGATCCACTATTCGGTCGACGGTTAACTATCTAATGAACATGGCCGGAGATGGAAACGCGAAGAGCGCTACTTGCACAACCTGTAGGTAGGAAGTTGTCGTTGCCAACCGAGCCCGATACAAATCTGCCGGGTCTTAACTCATAAGCGTGAGGCGACACAAACTTTATAAACAATACGGAACCACATCTGCTCGTGTTTCAATAGGTGAGTGTGCTACGAAAATAAATTATTAGTTAGTGGAAAATGTGACAGGTTACATGAGATAATATTGTATTAACGTAATATATTCTGTTTCCTCTATCACACGATTTGTGATGTCGACATTTGCTTGGTGTTTCTTCTTCGTTGTAAACAACTGTAATAATTATTATGAACCAAGATAATCCTTAAACTTTTTCAAAAAACTAACATTGTATTTTTTACTTTAGACTATCACAAAAATATAAAAACAGGAAAACTGGGCATATGTATGTATCTTATTTCCCTTTCATATCGCATAATATTAGTTATCGAATACACATTTTTCCCATATTCGTAGTAATTCGTAGCACATCAAATCAAAGCGATGAGACACGATGGCGTAGTCTGAAAAAATCCGTAGCACGCGTAGCAACCGTAGCGCGTAGATCTCGTAGCTTGACTACAACTCGCCTACAACTGTCTATTTTTAACATCAAACGTATCATAAACAATTTTAGGCTTGCCTGAATAATTTATAGTGTACGTTGCAAATAAGCCAACCAGTTCCGGCGCAACCTCATCGGTTAGCTACTAGAACGAAATGAGGGCGTAGCGCGCGAAACCATTTACAATAATATAGTTTTGTACAAGAACTGCCTAGTGGCGGAATTCAACTTATTATCCTTACTTACTCGTATAAAAGAATTTCTGTATTGTTTTTATATTTGCATTAATTAAATAAAACTAATTTATATAAAATGTATTTAAACTATTAGAGAAATATACAGAAACTTCCATTTAACAATTAAAGACATCAGTAACATAGAAAATAAAAATGAAAAATCCTAAAAACAGACAAATAAATCGCTTCTAGTTGCCCATAAGTTTGGTGCATCGTCATTTATTTAATTAGGGGTGGACAGCAGTGAGAAGTGAGCGTGGTACTCACTGTGTATCCTTTCCTAATTATTAACCGCGCCATACTAGCATGCATTTCCTAGAGACCCAACGAATCGAGGGTCGCGTTGATTTAAACCAATAAAACTTTTATAGCTTGTCGATACTAAAACTAATGGGGTTTGTTCGTGGTGGTGATTCATTTATATCGTTTTTATAGGGGGAACAAGTTTGTTTATGAATTTATTGTTTGTTATTTAATATTAATTTACGTTTTTATTATACATGTAATTCGTTGTTTCGAGTATTTTTGTATGGTATTCGAGTACTTCAATAGTAACTGTTTTCAGTAACGTTTTTCAAGTTGAGTTGAGATCAGAATTTGGTTCTCAAATTACAGTCAATGTTTTTAAAACATTGCTATTGTCATGTAGTTGGTATTTTAGTGTCGTTCTTCGTTAGTTAATTAGGCTTTAAAACGTCTCACCCTAATGAAAACTTAACAAAGTAAATTGGGATAATGAAAACAATTTCTTATTAATTTATATGGAACAATATTGTTGCACTTAACAATAGTTATTGCCAACCAAGTTAGACATCAATTAAAACTTTGTTATTTTGCACTTGCAATTAGTAGTTGCTCGAAGTTTGGTCTCAAGGAGCAGATACCCAGTATCTTGAGTTTAATAAGTTTTTTACGAATTTTCAACAATAAAAGTGATGTTTACATTTGGAATGTTAAAATTTTTTACTAACTATTTTATGAATTCGCAATAATGCTCTTTACGTCTGTAAAATTAAGGTATTCATTCATTTTTTAGTACGCACATTGTTGCCATGTGAAAAAGTTGAACGAAAAGGTTCGTAAATGAAAATCCCGCCGTAATTTCCCGCACATTTTGTTTTATTGTTTACTGATCGGGTTTATTACTTTAAATACTTACAATCTTTAGTTAAAAAGTTGTTACGTGATAAATAAACAAAGTTGATTTCAAAAACAATATTGCCTCGGAATATTTTATGCTATTCCCCCATTGTTGCTGAATATCATACGAATAAAAACTACTATTTCTCTTTCAGTAGCAGATCTCCATAGAAACATAAAGTTAGCAATGTATCACACAATTGAATAGGTCAAGATGTTTAAAAGACCGAGTTGTGTGGCAATCATGCCAAAACGGACGCGTTTATGATAGCGTTGCAATTCTATGCGATTTTTATTGCATGTATTTATTGTTGTAGGGATGTTGGCATCACAAATTTTATTTATACGCATTGCGTCGTGACGTCACCGTGATATCATCCAAATGCATTCGATGACGTAATGCTTGGATATATCACAATCGATTGCGTTATCAAGTTATTCTAGTTCTATGACAAATCACACGGCTGCCTACATTTTTCTGTCTTGAGCCTACTCATAATATGTAGATAGTCCGGAGCTTTCCCTCTGATTGTACCAGAGTTATGTAAACTCGTGCCAAGACGCTGATTACTTTTGATCTTGGCTAAATAAAAACTAATGAATGCTGAATAAAAGATTTCAACCAAACGATTTCATCGAAGAAAATAAAAAATGTAAAATCATTTTTGTCAGTTAAGAACTTCGAGAACAGCTTACACTATTTAGTTCTTTTGCGTACGTTTAATTTCGCTGGTGTGTTGAATAATAACAAGCTCTCCATCGCATTGGAAGGCCAAAGATCGCAACGGAATACCGAAAAAGAGAATTCGCCTTATGCTAATTAATTTTTCATAGCCCCGTCGACGACACCGCGGTGATATGAAAATGAGAATTCGTCGCACATTAGGTACTCTGGTTTACAACTTATCACGTCGTCGAGTATCAATTAAAGCGGCGGAACTGCGCAAGTTTACATCATTAACACCATAAAAAGACAGTTATTGCGAGAAAATTTGTGCAATCAATTAGGAGTTTTAAGAGGGGTCGGGGGTGTATGCGTGCAGAGTGCAGCGGCGACGACCGGGCAGGAGGGGGCGAGCGGGGCCGGCGCGCGCATCTGTGTGCATTCGGCATATTTACCCCGATAGTGGGCGGGCAGGTTCACTGACCCGACCCAATGCAAGGCCCGCGTACGTAGGCCGCCACGACGCACACGCCGGGACCCGTTTCATTAGTGCCACCGCACACCGCACACACACGTAAAAAAGCTAACACTGTGCGTCAAGTGGGCACGCACGCTTTTTTAATCATCTGTCAGATTACCCGACCCGGCGAAAAAGTCCAACAGGTAGATACTCGTCTAAGTTTTAAGATGTCGTTGTGCTCTGC